AGAGACAATAAGAATAGAAGTGTATGAAAGACAATTGTATGGTGCAAAGAAAAGAACCAATGTGTTTGTGTGTGTAAAACAGAATGGAGATACCTGGCTTTGGTTGGAGTGGGTATTATTAGGTTTGGGAAGAGGAACATATGTAGAGGAGCCACAGGGGCCTGGGGGGACGCTTGATCCCGTGGCGCCGCTTCTCTCTTCTGCCCCCAAATGGAAGCACAAATTGAGTTGGTAGGGCTGTGTAAATTTAATTTACAGAGGTACCCCCCCCACCACCACCATTACCAGCCCCACACTGAGTTTAGGGTCATCTGTTTTAGTTGGCAAATTGATTTTTACATTTTGGCCCTTGTCCTCTGCCATCCTGTCCTGATCCTTCTCTCTCTCTCTCTCTCTCTCTCTCTCTCTCTCTCTCTCTCTCTCTCTCTCTCTCTCTCTCTCTCTCTCTCTCTCTCTCTCTCTCTCTCTCTCTCTCTCTCTCTCTCTCTCTCTCTCTCTCTCTCTCTCTCTCTCTCTCTCTCTCTCTCTCTCTCTCTCTCTCTCTCTCTCTCTCTCTCTCTCTCTCTCTCTCTCTCTCTCTCTCTCTCTCTCTCTCTCTCTCTCTCTCTCTCTCTCTCTCTCTCTCTCTCTCTCTCTCTCCCACTCGTTCTCATTCTAGCTGATGTTTATACCATATATGATGGGAACAGTTTGTATGAACATGGTGGTTTACATCAGTCATGTTGCATGTGTTCGGTCAGTTCATGTGATTTTCTTGTTGGAAACATTGGTTTATATATCTTGGATACATAATTTGTCTGTGTTTTGTTCATGGATTTGCAAATGATTCACAGATGTAAGGATCCGTGTTTATAAAAGCTTGTCTTCTCATCTGTATTGTGAACGAACTTGTCCTCAACCTTAATGAGGTTACGGCGTATGACTGTGTGTGTGTGTGTGTGTGTGTGTGTATGTGTGTGTGATTTGCCGCTTTAGAACAGTAGAAGTTGTGCTCTTCACTTCCTGTGATGATAGCAGCATTGTAGCAATTAATTAAACAAAATTAATTACCCTCCTTATCATCCGAGTACACATTCACGCAAAGCACTCTCTCCATCTTACTCTAACACACACACACACACACACACACACACACACACACATTTACATCGATACACTCATACGCCTGCTGTTTCTCTCTCTTTCTCTTTCCCAAATACTTTGCGGTGAAATATCCAAAGGAAAATGGCATTGCTCAAAAGTTGCTCTTTCAAAGCTCAGGATATCTCATTTATGTTTCATTCAGGTATCAGCTTAGTTTCAGATGTTTTTTCCCCCCTTAAATTCCTTTGGAGAAATAGACAAAAATGCAAAGAGTGTACAAAATGAATATGTATAGTATAGCTGAAATATTTAAGATTTAAGAGAATTAGATTTTTCAAATAGAATTTTTCAGTTAATTTTGAGATATCTGACTTTTGACTGCAGTTTTTGGTGTCTGAGCACAGTTTGAGAACAGTGTTGTTTTATTGTCATTGATTGTTTGGTAATATTTTGAATTCATTTTAGCTTTCATTTTAATTTGAGTTAAAGGTTTAGTCATTTTGTTGTGTGTTTTTGTCCTTTTTATTTTTTTTCGTGTGTCTGTATAGTTTTTTTTCTACGTTTTAGTTGTTAGTTTCAGTTTATTTAATCTAAAAATGTTATTTTATTTTATTTTATGGTTCTGTGTTTTTTGTTCTGTATTAAATGTGTCTATATAGTTTTTATCAAGTTTAGTTATTAGTATAAGTTTATTGAGTTAATTTTTTTCTTGTGTCTATATAGTTATTTTTTTAAGTTTTAGTTGTTAGTTTCAGTTTATTTAATCTAAAAAACAAATATTGGTAACTAGCTGAAATAATTTAATTTGAAATTTAATTTAATTTAATTTAATTTAATTTAATTTAATTTTATGGTTCTGTGTTTTTTGTTTTGTATTAAATGTGTCTATATAGTTTTTATCAAGTTTAGTTATTAGTTTAAGTTTATTGAGTTTATTTGTTTCTTGTGTCTATATAGTTTTTTTTAAGTTTTAGTTGTTAGTTTTAGTTTATTTAATCTAAAAAATATTGGCAACTAGCTGAAATAATTTAATTTGAAATTTAATTGAATTTAATAGAATTTGATGGTTCTGTGTTTTTTGTTTTGTTTTGTATTAAATGTGTCTATATTATCTTTATAATATAGATATTATCTTTATATCTTTATTTGACCCTCTAACTCTAGCACTCTCTATTCTAATTCTATTCTATAAAAAAACACTTGTCCCTTTTAGACTTGCACTCTATTTATTTGCTGCTTGTTTTCTTAAAAAAAAACTAACACTTGCTTTCTAATCTTTTTGTATTCTATCTGTTTTCTTTTCATTTATTATACAATTAACAAAAGCAATAAGACCTCTAACACTAGCTTGCTCTATGCTTTTTCTATTCTATCTGTTTTCTTTTTATTTATTATATTATTTAAAAATCCCTTGCTACGTGTACTGCGTTAAGCTAACTGAGACTTGTTATAGCACTTGTATATCATTGCTCTCTTTTGTAAGTCACTTTGGATAAAAGCGTCTGCTAAATGTCTAAATGTAATAACTCGTTTAGTTATTAAGTTTATTGAGTTTTCATTATTTTAGTTATTTCTTCAGCTCAAACTAAATGAAACTAGCTGGCAACTAGCTGAAATAAAATGTAATTTTTTCAATATTTTATTTTATTCCAGTTAATGTTTATTTTATTTCAAGTAATACGGTTTTTATGATTGTAGTTTTTTTTTTTTTAACAATAATAACCCTGTGTGAGACAATGTTGAGCTCTGTTTCTCTCTCACTCTCTCTCTACTAGTAATCTTGTTGCTGTCTGGGAGAAAGAATTGATATATTAAAGAGATCCCATTTGCAAAGCTTTTTTCTTTCTCTCGATTTTTCTACACTCTTAGTGTTTTCACCGTGATAAGAAACATTTTTGGTTCCCAAAGAACCTTTCAGTGAAGAGTTTTTTCTTAGTGTGAAGAACATTTGAATGATCTAAAGAACCTTTTGTGCAATGGAAATGTTCTATGGATGTTAAAGGTTCTTCATGGAACCATCAATGCCATCAATTTTAAGAGTGTCCAGCTTCACTATTTAATTTCCCATCATTTTTAATCCTTTTAAACTATTTACTTAAATAATTAAAAGTAGTAAATGGTTGTGGCGTGTGGCGTGTCACACAGAAGACAGATTATGCTAGTTTGTGACAGTAAGTGTCAGACGTGGGTGTGATCAAGTGGAAGAGTGGGATGTGACACTATTAAACTATCTTATTTTGACATCCCATGACGGGTTCTCTTTTTTTTTTTTACCTGTCTGAAGTCATTTCTCGTTCTCAAACGTGCACTTAGATGGAGTATTCCCCTTAAAAGAGAACTTAGTTGGCGGTTGGGTGTGTGTGTGCCATCCTCCTGCTGTGTACAATAGTGGGGTCTTTTCCTCGCCCCCGTGTGTATGGTGAACAGGATGGGGGTTTCTGGCCTGCGGGGTTGGGCCCCTCTGGTGTCTTGAAGCGGGTTCTGAGTGAGATTGATGAGGGTCGGGACCCCCCCCTCCCCCCTCCTGGCCCACCAAGTCCCCCCCGAGGGCAGATAGTGCCTGTACACCCCCGAACACTCTCGCTTGCCAGAACTCTCCGTGTGCACAGGGCAAACCCAGCTGCGCCCTTCCGTTCCCAATCTTTCTCTTTTTTTATCTCTCCATTTATGCTTTTTAATTCTTTTATTGCTTGTTCTATCCATCTGGTTTCTTGCTTTTTGCTTTTCCCACTCGGGACTGAGTGTCCTGGCAGTTCAAAAGCTCAGCGATGATGGGTGGCTTGTATGTTTCTTCTTTACTCTTTTTCATTGTCTGAAAGCAACAGAGAGAAAGCAAAAGTAAGAGGGAGGGAAACAAACATTCTCACATAAATTCAGGTCCTGATTTATTTCGGGAGATCTGATGCAACCGAACAGCTGAAAGATGCAATGAGATGTTTCTGCCGGTACCGCAGTGATAGAAATGCTGAGTCATACCTATAGTGGAAAACATGGTGAAAATGTTTTTTTTTTCTTCTGTCTGTTGAGAGTATTTTCGTACGTGTGCAGTAATTAAAAGAGATATGGACAAAATCCCTGCAAAAACAATCAACTCAAAAATAAAATAAAATAAAATAAAATGTTAAGATTTATTTTCTGGGAATGTATGCAAATTTGTGCATATTTTATTAGATAATGCCTCATTTGCATATTCAAACATAACATTGCAGAAAACTTGTAATACAGAAAATGTCTTAATCTACTGTTATTAATCCTTTGGGGAAATATATTATTTATTTATGTATTTATTTATTTTCACCTGTGGTGTCTTGCTTCAATTTTTTTTAAATGTTTCTACTTAAATTTCTTTGGAGAAATAGACACAAATGAAAAGGTAAAGGTATATAAAATAAGTGTATAAGTGTAGTGTAGCTCAAAAAAATTGGTTTTAAGAAGTTTTGAATGAGAAATATTTGAGTTCATTTTGAGATATCCGACTTTTGAATGCGCTATAAATTCAAAATATGGGGATGTACAGAATATTTTAAGAACTTTTTTGCCAATTCATAAATCTCCGGATTTGATTATTTAAAGAGTTCCATGCCACACCATTCACGCTAAATATGCAGTTATATTTAAGTATATAAATATATTTTTGTATTTTTTTTAAATAAAATAAAACCAAATAAAATGTTTTGTTTTGTATTTTATAAAACAGTAAAAAGTACTATATTTTATATTTTTACATTTTATATATAAAAATATTAATATATTGACGATAGTGGTCCTGACAGAAATATATATGCATATAAAACATATTTGAGTTTTTTTTTCATTTTGAGATATCTGATTTTGAATATGCTATGAATGCTGATTCATACTTATAGTGAATAGATATCAAATGTATATAGCAGAGCAGAATAATGGGAGCAGTATGAGGTCGGAAACTAAGTGAACTTTCCACACAGACTATTTTCAGAACTCCTTTGCCAATCCATAAATCTCAGGTTGTGATTATTTAAAGCTTTCCACGGCGCACCATTCACACTAAATGGTGTGAGTTACATTCCTACGCTACGGAAAAAAGCCCCCAGAAGGCTTCTTCCATTACTTCTCATTAACTATCATCTCTGATTCTGTTCCAGTGTGAACATGTCAGTTGTCGTCGCTACACGTCCGGTCGTGATGAAAGATTTTTATCAAGTGACCAATCCAAACTCTCAGAGCTCGTTTGAAGGGCAGGCTGAAGTCAGCCGTGACCATCTCTGTAAAATGTTAGGAGTTGTTGTGACAGTTATCGTGTTGTGTTTGTGATTTTATTGCACGGAGTAAATGAGTTTTAACAGATGAAGTTTGGGTGTTGAGATAAAATGTCAGTTCAAGGCCTCTGAGTGTCGGATTTACAGTTGATTTACTCTTTCCAGAACTTGCCAAGACTTGGAGATATTGGAATGATTGACTCATTTGCATTTGTAAAAGTTGTCCTGGATAATTTTCTAATTTCAAATTGTTTTTTTTTTGTTTGCTTTATTGTAATTTAAATAATAATTTAAAAGTTCTATAATAATAATAAAAAAAAATATATACACACACACACACACACATATATATATATGTATATACATATATACACAGACACACACACACAGAAATTTTCTAATTTTTATATATATTTTTTTGCTTTATTGTAATTTAAATAATAATTTAAAAGTTCTATAATAATAATAATAAAACATATATACACACACACACACACACACACACACACACATATAGAAATGATCTAATTTCTATAATTTTTTGCTTTATTGTAATTTAAATAATAATTTAAAAGTCCTATAATAATAATAATAATAAAAAATATATACACACACACACACACACACACATATATATATATATATATATATATGTATATATAATTTTCTTTCTTTTTTTTTTGGATGAACAAAATGTAAGAAAAACTGTCAGACTGACATCTCATTGCTTTAACCTTAGAACTTTAAACAAGAAGCTTTGAATACAGACAGAATCAGTGCCATAAACGTTTCTGGGCTGTTTGAAAGTAAATGACCCTGTGACGCCATTGTGTAAAGAAGCACACATGATCTTTCCCTCCAAAACTTTGTTTTGCATTTCCAAACAAATCCTGATTAGCCAATCAGAGACAGTTAACTGCCGTTGGATTAATGTGGTGTCTCACTGCAGACAGTTTCAAGCTTTTCCTGGTGATTCCACACTGCTGGAGACGGAGCAGTGGTGCCTCATCCTAATTTTTCATTGTGTGTCAGCGAGCAAATGAAAGAGGTGCTTGTAATAACCCATAAAGAGGCTTTTTATCAGTCCATGACTCCCAAGTGCTCTCTGTCTTTCTTGCGATCCATTTTTTCTGCTTCTTTTTAGATTTCAGACAGTTTTGCACAGTTTGTCTTTAGATAAAATTAAATTACTGCTGTGGATGCCATGAGGCTCATAAGAACATCTGTCCTGCCTGGTGATCCTGTTTTCTGACCCCTGTCTGGTTCGACTGATGATACACACTTGCTCATTCACACTCATACATTCCCCCCCCCCCCCCCCCAAAAGAAACCTAAATAAATTTGGCCACAATTTATGTAAAAATCTAGAACTTTTAATATACAATTTTCTGTAACTGTAATTTTTTATTCTAATTTATTATAACATTTCTTAAAATTATTGATTATTAAATTTATTAGTCTTTATATAATATTATGTATACTTATTTGACTTATTATTTTATTTTATTTTAAACAGTCGCATTTTTTAAATAAATATTTTGAAAATAAAATGAAATGAAAAATAAAATAAAACATTTATATTTTATTTTATGAAACAAACAATTTGTTTATGCAAAAGATAAAGTAACTATACTAGTATTTTTGGACAAAGCTCCTGTTCCTCTCTGGAATACTTCACAATCATAACAGAAACTGAAAACTGCTTTAAACCCTCACAACATCCTGCAGTCTTCTGACTCAGTGAGAGTCGTGTGTGTCCACTACATCCATGAACCATTTGTGCCTTAATTATCTACATAATGAAACCGAACGTCAATACATTTTAAATATTTATCTGATTAAAATAACATGCAAAACTACAAACTCTGGGGAGACTGGAAAGCATCAATGAAGCATCGCTAAATACATCAATGGTGGAAATCTTAAAGTGATTAAAAAAACATTATCTTGACAAAAACATCAATTTGTCAAAATAAGGCCATCAATACCTTTGGCTTAAAAACAGAGACAGATTACAGGTCACCAGTCTTGCCATTGTTACCAGACATTCAAAACATCAATTCTTCAATATTACATTATATTCTGTACGATTATAGGGGCAATGCAAGAATTAAAAAGAGACACAAGAGTATTTTTCTCTCATAAAAATGAGGATATCTCCCCATAAACTAGGCGATTTTCAGATAATATATTGCTTTCTTTTCAACATGTGTTTGCTGAAGCCACATTAATATCTCTGTTGGATAAATTTTGGATAAACAGACAAAATGTCGCTCTTTTTTTTCTCTCCTTCACACACAGACAAATTCATGCACACTCACACACACACACACACACACACACACACACACACTTCCCCTAATTCAGTGTTTTTCTGTGTCTCTGCAGGAGGAGAGCAGTGCTGTGTGCTGTAGAGGGGAGATAATGGCCTCTGGCTCCTCAATCTCTCAGCTGTAATGTGTTTCTGACACCAGCGAGTGCCTGCAGCCCCCTGGGAGGTACAGGGACGACATCATGATGGAGTGTCAGGTGCTTCTGTGTGTGTGTGTGCGTGAGCATGTCAGTATGCATATCAAACAGCTCCATAATGATATCTGTTTTCCTGCCAGCCGGCCTAGACTGCAGGGACCACCTTTGCTTTGGCAATTCCAATCACACGCCCATGTATAGGTGCCCATATGCGCACGTACAGTCCGAGCATTTAGAATATGTTCGGCGCTCATTTCTCGTCCCTCTTTATGTTACAGTTTCAGGCACCAATCGAGGTGGCATGGTAATGGTAACCATGGTAACATGATGGAACTGACCAGCCACGCCACGACCAATAATCAGCACCACCCTTCCTGACATGAAGGGTATTAAAGGGTTAGTGGACCCAGTGATGGTTTTCATGTGACTCTCAGTCGGACTCAGATCAGTGGATGTCGGTTGATAATTTGTCAATATAGCAGTTTTTAAGTGTTTTTGGATTGTGTGTGAGTGGAGGGGTGTTATTTCTGGATAGTTGGATATAGAGAAGGATGAGTATGGACAGTGAGAACAGAAGTATGATCATAACATTTTGCAAGAAAGACGTGAACCTGATTAAATTTTTTAGCAGGCAGCATTTGCCCCCCAGAATAGATAAAAAAATAAAAAAATAAAAATTTTAATTAAAATATATATATTAAAATTAAAAGAACCTGCATCACCCATTATTATTTTATAAATGTAATATGTGCATACATATATAATATTTTATATAATCTTTTTCTTTTTTTTCAGTCATAGCTTATTGGGTACAAACATTTCTCCTAAACTATATTAAATAAATAAAAAACTATAAGAATAAATAAAAATAGACACAAATAAGAAACTGCTGATGTGATGTAACACATCAGTTTAGAGCTGAAAAGGTAACAAATCGTGAGGTTTTGCCTGAATTTTGACTTTGCAAACTTTGATATGTTGAAAATCTGAGCACAGTTCGAGACATTGTTGAAGTCTCGAACTGTGCGTGAGATTATGCACGTCACATGTGAGTAAGGTGTTTTTTTCTGAGGTGAAAAATCTAAAAACCAGATGACTAAAGCAG